ACTGGACTATTTGAAACACATGTCACGTTCGTGATTTGAATATTGATATGTTTTTTTGGGATATTATTTCTTTAATTATATCGATGTCAAAGCTTCTGAATTTTAATTCCATTTAACATTATCATATTATTAACATCGGTATTTTTACATTTTTATAGTTAATTAATTATTACTTACTAGCTTACGCTAAAACATATACCTAGTTCGTACTGTATATATTATTATCGAGATTATTTTCCACGTTAGGTATATTGGTGTATATACATTTATATTAGTACCGCACGAGTTTAACATCTGGTGTAACATTTCAAGGATCTTTTATGGAATTAATTTTCCCCCCCAATCGCGTTTCTATTGAAATTAAAGCATCTTCATCAGTGATGATGATCGTCAGTTTTTCTATATTGATTGTGTATAGGTCAACACAAACGTCTTGTTTCCGGCGATTTTGTTCAAGGACTCGTACACGCCAACCAATTTACCCTGAATAATGTCACCACACCCACGCAGCTAGCAAATAGGTAAACATGTGCATGGGGTCATTGTAATATTGTCATATACATTATATTATAACCCTAAATAGCCCGATCCGTACGTGTTATTTTCCGGTTCATACGCAGTGAGTGGGCGCCAACGGCAGCAGCAATGGCAGTGACATTAGCGGTGGGAGAAACAACCAAATGTAATATTATTATTTTGTTAAAAACGACACGATTTTAATTTTTCATTTATGCTCTTTTTTATACGTATTTTATATCAGCACTCCCAGCGTTTTATAAAATGTAGAAAAAACCAACATCAAGTCTGGAAAACGACTATTTGCGTACTACGCGGGCTAATGGATCCCTAGGATTATTTCGAGCAGCCYGTTGCATTTTTAATAAATTATTACATAAAGTGCTAACACACGTGGTGTTTTGATGTCCGACAAGTGGGTGGGTATGTTGATTGTCTTAGAAGTTCTTAGAAATCGGTTTCTCTGGACCGATGTCTGGACCCAATGCGTAATTAATCTATGCCAATAACGAGACGTATTTACTTTGCTTTCCTTTTTTATTGGCTCWTATTCAACAAAAGTGAGTAAATCTTAAACCATGCATTATATTTTGCATGCTATTGTTGGTAAATTTAGAAAATATATATTTATAAATGTAAAATGAATAAAAACTAACACACATCATTTTAATATTATAATGATCGCCATAACATTAGTTTATTATCATTATCTTACCTATTACCCAGTTCACAATAACCGAAGAAAAGTATCTCAAATTTGAGCAAATATATATTCCTGGAGATTTACTAGGTGAAATCGTTTTCTAATCGCCTGTAATTACGTGATTAATACACATTTTCGAGGATGTTGTTAGACTCGTACAATACAGTTCACGTATTATGTATAAGATACATATAATGTTAGCCATCTATATAGTACCTATATGATCAATGATCATATACGTAGATTATACACAAGGAATTTTATTTTATTAATATTAACTTCGAAATTAAAATCGGAAATTATGATGAATTTAAATAAATTGGTTTTTTTTAAATTATACTCGTGAGTCGTAAATACGATATACGACATACGTATGAAAATATTTTTAGGTAGTTTAGGTAATAGGTACTTATTATAACTTGTACACGTATATGWGTTTATAATTTATTATTTTCAAAAAAAAGTGTATAATATACCAATACTTAATACAGAATACATTTAATGTTTCAACTTTATTATTCACTATATTATTGAACTATTATAACTTGAATCCATTGTAATAATATCGATGTTTTTTTATTTATCTGTTTATCTATTTGTGTTTTGCCTGTTTAAATTTCAAGGTTTCTGTCAGATTTTCTTCATAATCTTGTAAAAATTAATTTTTATATGAAAACACTCGAATTACATAAAATATGGTTTAGTATATCATAAAGTATAATTAACCATATTTTTTATATTTTGCACTGTGGTACACTGTAATTACACAGTACTTGAATATTCTGGTGCTGAGTGTATACATAATATTACATTAGTGTTATGCGAATCGCGTCTAGGAACGGTTAGGTATTTTTATTAAATTATGTTTAAAGTTGTTTAATGTTTAATTTTTAGTCAAATAATTTCTAAATTAAAAGAAAAATCAATTAAAACGTAATTTTCTATTCCGAAATTTCAAAATATTTAAATCAAATTTATAGTTGTTGTTGAGGGAGGGGGCTTCAATGGGAAAAAGTTGACTAACCGATCTTAAGTAGACATAATAATAAATTCAAATCAGTTTTAAAAAGTATTACTGCATCACTAGGTCGAATAGTATGATGGACAAACGATTTGTATGTTTTAGTTAAAATAACCTTTCACCATCGATCAAAAAAATAAAAACAAATTATATTGTTCAAGTATGATATTTTAGAAMGGTTACTCAATATTTGACTTTCTGTACTTATTTTTGACTATAGCTCATCAATTCATAAAATAGTTTTAATACATAATAATGAAAAACTAGTGTTTTTCAAATAATTTTTAAACTTTTATACGCTCCCGTTGCCGCTTTACTTTTGCCCAACGCCTGTTCATGTACATTGTATTGATATATTCTCGCGTGTGTGATGTTTATTATTTATATTGCTTGCATGATATTTTTATATTTTTATATTTTTATAAATGAAGTTGATGCATGAAAAAATATTTCAGATTGAATAAACACTAAAACGGAAATATCATTAGTGTAGGCGAACATATTATTATTCCGTTGATCAATGTATACAATATACATGAATATTGTATAATATACACGTCTTRGAATATTGATATAAATATAAAGATCAGTGTTAGGTGATTCATCTTCAATTAAAAAACCGTACTGTCTTGCTTCGTTCATTTTGCTGTTTTTCTCTTGAGGTTTCCATTATTTCAATATTGTTTCGAATTAATCTAAGATTTACAAAAATGTCGGCAAATCGGTTTTTGTAAATCAGATTTTATAAAATGATATTTATATTATATTATCGAATATTACGTACCGCGAAATATAACAGATAAGATAAAGCTGTTTAATTGCGAAATTTGTTATTTTAAAACGTTTATGCGCTATTATTGTTCTGTTTGTGCAGCACTTCAGTGCTATTTTAAACTACACTCATTATGATAATACATTTTATAATGATATTAATTACGTATACAAAATATATATAATTTAAAAAAAAAAAAAACGTAGACTTTAAACTCGGTTAAGTCGTGATAATAATAATATTATGTGCACAGTTGTTCTGGTATAATAATGTGATGACGTTCGTTCGCTTACAGAGTCACGTCATATGATAATCCTAGAGCCACACATATCTATAATAGCCGAACCGGGTCGGAGAATTAAAAATAATTTCTTGTTTATGACTTAGTGAGATCCCTACATCACTGACATAATCGTTTTATAGCGTTATCATCTACGTCGTCGATGATTATATAAATTGAAGGCTACCATCATATAGGATGATATATTGGATCCCCTTAAAATACTATATTAGTATGACGATGCAATATCTGCAAAGGATGTTTTGAAAAAAGATTAGTTTCCTGCAACATGTTTTGTCCTGGAGCGGGGAAGCGTCATGCTATTCAGTATAATAAATTAATAATATAGTAGTCACTAGTCACTAATTAGTAAGTCATCGATATTATATTACAAATTATAATATTTAATAGATAATACAATTCACCTGATATAGTCCGTAAAGTAAAATTTGTTATTTTATCGGAATGGGCACTTTATAAATTTATTACCAGAGTCGCATATTTTATCGTCGGTGGATTGCGTTAGGGTTTTATAATTTTATTGTTGTAGGCACCTGATATAAATGTAGTACAATTATATTAGTTTAGATTAGGTATGCCGACAAGTGCTCATTTTTGGTTTACTGGTCTACGCATTACTTAACCTTAACACTTTCGTGGCGCTCGTGAACGCTTTTCTAAGTTTAATATTATATTGTTACTCATAACCTTGGACTGCAACGCTTTTAATTATGATATGATTATTCGTCGTAACTATATATTTAGGATTCGCAGCAGTGCGATCCGTGTAACAAAATGCATTTCGAGACGGTGGTTACCTATTGATATTATAATACCTATCTGTATTACCTATAAGATTAAACCGTTCATTTGTATACAGAGTCTTATCCAAATCGTGTCACCTTATATTTTTTTCTTCATTATATGTTAATATATATCTAATATGTATACTTTATATTAAGTTTATRAAGTTTTTCGAATTTTAAAAATGTTGTAAATGTTAAACAAGCTAATTTTCAAAAAAATATCTATGTAATACTTAAGTTACGTCTACATTTCTTATAGTTTAGTTTCGGACGAATAATTTTCATATCCATCATAGTATTATGCACTGTTTATAAAGTATGGGCAAGTGTGCTCCTCCTTTACACGTGTGCATCATCGATGTACCATATTATATTCCATATTATTCCTCGAATATGGCGGTCATATACTATGTGTAGCTGTGAACTATTTGTCTAAAATTAGACTTTATACACATCATATAGTTTCCAATAGAAACATTCCGTTTAGGAAAAAAAGCATGGACCCTGTTATTATTTTATGGATTAAAAACCAAAATTTGTATATTATTCTCCGTTTTATTATTTACAACATACAAGGGTCTCTCATAATATGATGTGATACGAAATATACACAAGACCTGCAAATAATCTACTCATATAATGTAATACATATATAATATATTCCACCAAAGAGGTTCGTCCCGCTGCATGCGTAGGCAGTACTTGAGAATTCCTACCGCATACAGACCAAACGCGGGATTATGTAGAAGCGGGATCACGCAGTACAATATCATATAATATAACGCGTGTTTAATCCCTCCAGCGTGACTTTACGCACGATTCGGACACGGCTCTGTTGAATTAATTCGTATGTCGTGTTTCATCGGTATCTATGTTTTTGTTTTTGTTCCGTTATCGTTTAGATTGAGCACCAGTCATTAATATTGTCATCGATGGTGCATTGTATACGGCAGGTATCATAGTATACAATATTGTATCGTATGATTATAACGTACGTACAGCAATGACGGAACCGGCAGACTTCTGAATCACCCGAACCGCAGAACGCTCGTGGTGGATTATTATCATATACATCGCTGGAATCAAGTGGATAATCGATAAAGCTGATAATACTACACCCCCGAAGGAAGAAGCGGACGCGAAATGATGGACGACGAGATCCAAGAGACGGTTGAGTCGATCCTGGGCAAGGGTGCGGTGGTGGTGGACTGCGAGAAAAAGTCGAGCGTCAAGGAGGAGGAGGTGCTGTTGGTCAACGGGTGTCCGGTGTCGTTGGACGGCGACGACGGAGCGGCCATCAAGCGGGCGCTGCTGCGCGGCGACGTGCCAGACTGCGACCTGCTCAACCAGATACTGGTCCGGGCGGGTATACTGCGGGCGCCCGTCCATCTGGAGACGAACCTCAGCGTCAAGTCGACGGTGGTCACCCGGGAGGAAGTGACCGTGGCCAGGGCTGGCCGGGTGGTGGACGAGCGGTCGCGCGAGACCAAAGAGGAYAATTACTACACGAGCGCCACGTCTGAAGTTTGGGAACCGGTGACCGTGTTCAACGGCCCGCCGGACGCCGCGAAGAAGCGGACCGCCGCCACTGAGGTGACGGCGGACCCAAAAATTACACCTACGCCGCCGCCGCCGCCGGCCGCCAAGTACAAGGAGACGGTGACCACTAGCAGTAAGCGTACTGAAGACGGCGTAGACTGTGGTGCAGAGCGGTCACCCGATGATTTTGTGCACACAGCCCACGTGACAGACGGTGACAGCCTGGCCAACGGCATACGTGTCATCAAGTTGAACGGCATACACGATCCCAGAGGTGATTATGAAATGCCTGTCATGGCCACTGCCGGATCTTCAGACGACGTAAGTGTACTTCATTGTCATATATTATAATACCATAATAATATAATATTATATAGATTAATAAGTAACGCTTTATAAAATATACCAGTTCCTATGATATGTATTATGAACCATTAAAGTTCTCAACCAGAATGCCAATTTTGAAGGAAAAATGATTTTATAGCAGATATGCGGTTTGTGTAATAAATTTATTATAATATTATTATGATATTTAATTGGAACCGCTTTCTCTAATATTAATGAAATAAAGCTAGTATAGGTAAATATACGCTAGCTCAATATGCGATGTCTCCAAGTTTTAAGAATATTCACTTAAGAATTTAGGAAGCTGTGAGTCAAAAAATGTTGAGAACCTTTCTTATAACAGTTTACAGTGAGTTGTAAATTGTACTAATATAAGTATTTTTTTATCCATTACATTGTCGTTCAAGTACCTTTATTATATTATATTAATAAAGTATTTAATATGTACATCTTAACTCTCATAAGATCCAAAGTTATGGAATCGAAAATATGCACAAATATCAGTACAAACGGCTATTATTATGGGTTTATATTTAGTGTATTGTATTATGTCTAAAAATGTCGTTAAGAGTTACTGAGTCTAGAGGTTCAGAACTTAATAAAAATAATAAAATTGTTGTAAATACTTTTATTATTATGCATGCTTCATTATTGCACCAACCTTACCGCTGGCACACTGTATTAGTGTACTATACAGATACTGGAGATAGGAGTTTAATGCGTCAAATCGCGTGACTTTAAAATATTCCGTATACGGCTTCGAAATGTACGTTCGTTGTAGAGTGATAATAAATAATAATACCGTGCTTATGAGTTATAAGAGTGGTTTTTCTTCGATTAAAATGCGTCCAAAAATGACAAAGTTGGAATTAAATTTTTCGTTTATTTATTCTCGTTCACCTATTATAGTTATCTATAAATGTGTAGTGTAATGTGCTGCTGTTACTTCCTATATTCGAATTAAGACATGATTTCTAGACATGCTATAATAGTAAAAATATTTCTGTTCTTTGTGTGCTATTTACAATTTCATACATGTACTTATCTATGACGTTTGTTAAAAAAAAACATAACAAAATAACACAAAGTGCCTCAATGCCTCATAATTAAATAACGGGAAATTGTACGCACACTCATTTTTCGACAAAATCGATTTTGGTTTTTGATGTAACTTAAAAACAAATGACCATAGATGCATGAAATTTTCACTTAATGTTTATATAAGTATGTTCTATCCACCATGCAATTTTCAAAAAATTTTGACTTAAGTTGAACCATTTATAGGCATTTGAAATTTTCGATCATTATTAGTTTTTTTTTTAAAAATAATATCGATAAAAATTAATTTGTTGGGCAGAAAAGCTTGAAAATTTAATACAAGGCTCTTAACATATTGTTACAATAGCAGTTGAAAAATAAAATAAATTCATAGTCAGAATTTTTTTTTATAAGCATTCAAAGTTTGAATTTTGACAAAATACGTGAAAATCACGGAAATTCACAAATTATTTTGAGCTATAAATTCATAAAAAAATTTCTTTTTAAATCTAAGATTTGAAAATTTAATACAAGATTCCTTAAAAGTTTTTCAATCTTTATCACAAATAAAAAGTCCACTGGAAATTTAAATTGAATTTTTATGAGCATTTGAAATTTAAATTTTTACAACATTGGATTTTCACTTTTAGCGATTTCCTTATTTTGGTGTAACTCTAAAAGTCTAAAACAATAAATGACCGCAGATACTTGAAATTTTCACTGAATGTTTATATAGGAATTTTATATATTTTATACAATTTTCAAAATATTTTGATTAGTTCTGAGTTGTTTACTGACATTTTAATTTTTCAACTTYTTTAGTTTTTTTTCTATAAATATCGATAAAAAATTATTTGCTCGGTAGAAAAGCTTGAACATTTAATACAAGGCTACTAACA